GGGGGGGGGGCCGAGCCTCCGAGCCGCTTCGGCTTCCGTAGCTCGCCGGATTTACAGGAGGCGCGACAGGCTGGGGCGGAGCAGGAGTGGGGGACGTACCAAAAACAAATCAACAAACAAACAACGAAAGAAGGAAAGAAGGAAAGAAAGAAAGAAAGAAAGAAATCTTCAAACCGGACGATACTGAAAACAACCCTTTTTGATCTATTCGGGAGAAGCCTCCACCCTTTGAAAGAGACCGGCCTTAGAGCTTTTCCAGTATCCCCCCTCCATTTGCGAATGGAACATTCCTCAGACGGTTCGAGGGAAAAGATGTCTTCCCCCGACTGAGCATGCGCGTGGAGCGATGACGCACGAAGCGGGGCTCCGGGGGCCCCGCGGGCTTTTGGCTGAGCGGCAGCCGCGGCGTTCGCGACGTGACCCGGGTGGGCGCCGCGCGGGGTGGGATCTTCGTCCAGCTGCTCGCAGTTGGCTTTGACGGCTAAGATAAAACGTAATTCCAACGGTTAAGGCTAGAGACCGATCCATCCATCCATCCATCCATCCATTGTAAAATGAACAAGACCTTCTTTTAGTGGAGGAAACTCAGCCTATTGAAATACGGTCCTTGGGGAAGGGGCTGCAGCTGAAGCAACCCCCTCCCCGACTCTGCTGGGCTAGAAAATCATCTTTATTCGGTCAGTGGCCAGCAAAATTTAAAAGGACAAAAGCAGAGTAAACGAAGCACGTATATTCATTCATTCATTTATATGCCACATCGATACAGCCGCCCATCTCTCACAAAGCAATTCTGGGTAGTAACAACTAGTAAAATAAATCACATAATAATATAGCATTCACTCCTCTATTACTATGTTGGTACATTTACTATCCCGGTAATATAAATTTAAAACATGAATAGGTATAAAATAAAAATAGGAATCCCCTAACATTTTATTAATTAAACTATATCAAACCAAACGGGGCTAGATACAGTGAACTAACCCCCTTGCAGCTCCAGTGATATGGTTTTGGAGTCCCGGTCGACAAAAGACATAGCATTCATGAGATTCCTTGGCATTCCTCATTAAGATGCCAACCCACCTATTGGGGGATCTTTAGAAACGAAAGCATAAAAAATCAGGCCTGAGAATCAACTGTCCCAGGTCTGTAAGGGTGGGTTCAATTAGCATAAAGCCCTTTTCTGAATTTATCCTCCAAGGCTTCTGAAAGCTCCATGGTATTGAAGTAGAGCAACCTGGTCAAAGAACTTGGCCACCTTCAACTGGTTCTAACGTGGACTCTTCTGTATTTGGGTTAAAGACTATGTGCCATCAAGTTGGTGTTAACGCATAGAAAGGATTGATTGATCGATTGATTACTTAATGAATCTCTAGCCTCGTTAACTCATTGTTTCCAAACCAAACACATCTGCCAGCCTGTCTTAAGCAACCTGGCGCTGGACTACAATTCCCATTGCCTTCCCAGCCCTCTCTTTCTCTCCTGGTCACCGAGCACAGAGCAAGGATGGGTTGTGGTGCAATGGGGCGGCCTAGCTTTGTTGTACCCCGCCCACAGTCGCCTGTGGTGAAATGGGCAGCTACATAAATTGGTTTAATAAATAATAAACAAACATCCATGATACAGTAGCACAGTGTTTCTCACCCTTTCAGATGTGTGGACTCCGACTCCTAGAATTCCCCAGCCAGCCATGTTGGAGTCCCCCCATCTTCAAGAGTCCACACATCTGGAAGCTGCCAAGGTTGAGAAACACCGCCTAGCTTTATGCTTAGCACGGGGTGCAAAGTCAGTCGCTTGGGTGGGAAAATCTTAGGACAGAAGAGACGATCTGTAGCTCAGGGTTGAACTGTGCCCTCCGTGGCGCTCTCTGAGCTGGGGGGGTTGACGTGCAGACCTCTCATGACCCAACTAGGCAACAGCATCAGTGTTCTGATGTCACCTAGTCGGGTCATGAAACGTCCGCAAGAAAACAGCCAAGCTCAGAG